CATTAACCTCACAAAAATTCTGTGGCATAGGTTAGCTGTATTTCTGTTTTCTTTTTCTTTTTTTGTTAAGGAACTGAAACGGAACGGGTAGGAACTTCCCCAAGGCCATAGTGAGTGAGTGGCTTAACTTGAATTTGTACCCAGATCAACCCGACTGTAGAGAGCATGATGAACTGAAGCTGACTGAGACTCTGGTGACATGACGGACATAACACGAGTGTGATGATCTGTAAGCAGTAAATACAATGTGCTGGGAGTACCCAGCAGAGGGATAAGAAGTCCGAAAACACAGGGAGCGTGTCGTGTATTTTCCTGCCTAGTTTCACGCACCTGGTCTGGAGCAAAGGATGAAAGTGGAGAGAATTCTGAGGATATTTGAGATTTGTGTATGAGCAGCATGACTTCAGTCGCCAAGCCACACAGACGATGGGAGTCTTCCTTGCATTGGGGCATGGATTGTCAGAGCGACGGGAACTGAAGTGTAATGCGATGGCACCGAGACTGCCGGGATTTGAGCATTCCTGGGAGAGTAGCTGGTCACTGTATTGATTAGAGTTCTCTAGAGGAACAGAATCGATAGAAATATATGGATAATTACACAAAGGGATTCATCAGGTAGGCTTGGAGATCAGAGGCAGGAGAGTCTGCAGTGGCCAGCTGCATGCTGCAGAGCCAGAGTGCTCGGAGCTTTTGTGCCCAAGAAGATGGAAGCCCCAAAACAAGGGTGACCACGAAGGCAGCACCAGTCCATGGTACAAAGATGGAAGCTCATTGTAGAGTCACTGGGGCCAGTATGCATTGGAAGACGACAGAGATTCAAGAATGGTGTCCAGAGCAATGGCGATTACCAGAGCTGTGCAATATGGGGACACTTTCCCTTTAGTCCCATCCAGGCTTTAAACCTTGGTTGTTGTCACACATATCCAGAGTGTCTCTTCCCCCTCAGTTTGCTGGCCTATGTGCCAGTCATCCACAGAGACCCAGATTTGGATCTGTGCTTTACCCATCTGTTAGGGGGTCTGTAGTTCACTGAACCTGGTGGATCACCATTGGTGGTCACTGTCACCTTTTTACACAGGACAGGAGGAGTGATGCTAGATGATACCTCTTTCTAGTGACTTTCAACACACAGACTTTGTGCAGGAGGTGGAGTAGGAGAAGCTGAAATGGAAGAGGAACCTTATACCTAACCCCATGAGAGACAGGTTTGAGCATGTTGAGTAACCCCTGGAAATTTGGAGGGTGAGGAGCTACTGTACTTTCTGTTTCAGAAGGCAGTGCTTAAAGAATAATCATTAAATTGTAAGTATAGGAGTGAATATAATTCTGTGTCATAAATTTGTATAATGTGACTGCTGCTGCAACATCCATTTCTGGCTTGATTGCAATTGTTTGCAACACAGGCATGCCCTGTCACTCTTGTCCTCAATAAAATTTTCCCACAACCACAGTTGTTTGTGACACAGTCCTCTTGACCCTCATCGCACAGACTCAGAATTCAGTATACCCTGTTGTGGCTTTATGGGTTACCACTTCCAATTAGATTGAACCCCTGGGCATCTGAGCACATCTGAGGACACTTAACGATGTGACTATGCTCTCAGGGACATGTGCATAACAGGCCACGGTTATCTAAGAATGACTCAGCATACTTAACCACACATGCACAACATGGACAAGGTCATGCAGCAGGTGTTTAGTCTCCCCATGCCTGAGTAAACCCATAGAAGACACTGCACTTCCTATGCACTAGAGAACACTGTGACCTTTAAGTAGCTGTGTTTGCTGTGTTTGTTATGTAGCTGTAATTGCTGTTTTGCTGAAGGAATAAAGACACACACAGCTCTTGAGCTCTGGAGCTGCAGCTCCAACTTTCATGCTCTGATACTACCGATTCTGATGACTGACTCTCAGCACCTTCTTCTTTATTGGGGAATTAGTTAACTTACTCACAGAACAAAGGACTGTATGGACTAGAAGGACCAGGTGCCTCTTAGGGAGGCTTGGCCCTCAGAGATGTCCTCCAAAACCTTGTGCAGTCATAGGTGGGGCTTTTCAGAGGTAGCTGGATCTACAGTGTGTGATGCTGGAATTGATTCATGGTGCAATGCTAGGATTAAGGTTTCTAGGATTGAGGAAGTTGAGTGCCCTAAGCAGCCTGGATAAGATATAAGGGACAGAAAGAGGCTTGTCACTTGTCTCTTGCTTGTGTTTGCTGTCTACTTGCCATCAACGATTTCTCCTCCACGATGCCCTTCTGCCATCTCCCCTGCCAGCCAATTGTGGGCTGAAATCCCTACAAAATGTGAGCCAAACTAAACCTTGCCTCCTTTAACATTGGGTATTGGTTATTTTGTGCCAGAAACTAGATAAACAAATAGAACATACCCTATGGCTGCTTATGACAATCAAACCCCAAAATTCTTATGAATGACTTACTCTTTCCCCTCCTCCTATTCTCCTCCTCCTCTTCCTCTTCCTCTTTCTCAGGTCCTTTACTTTATCTTTCTCATTGCATCTTACCTGAAACACACATAGCATAATGTTCTTCTCAACATTATTTAAAGTCTTTTAACTGATGAGAATAGACTGAAACATATAAATCACTCTGTGCCTTTTGATTTGATACAATATGTACTATTCTGCCCCACAGACATTTATCCTGATTGAAAAAAAAACCATACTGAACCAAAGCAATAGTGCAAGTAATATAGGTGATAAAAGCACATAAATAACATTATGAATGATTAGAAAACTAATGGAATGCAATATTCAAAGAGCTAATGGTTTTACACAAGAATTATTTGTACATGTTTTTATGAATTTGTGCAGGATACAATGACGTTTTGCATCGTCGACATAAATTGCCTCTTGGTTTGATCAAAACAGCTCTGAAAGAATTTCAGGCCAATTAAAAAATTTTGAATTTCTTTTTCTAACACATGCTACTTCTACATGTATCACTGAACACCCTATGCATTTCTATCATTTATTTATTTACTTATTTATTTTGGTGATTCTAGGGACTGAATCTAGGACTCTATACATGCTAGCCAAATACTACCAGTGAACTGTATAGGCCCAATAACATAAATTTTAAATGTTTTATCATTTGCATGAAATTTTTATTTCAAGTAATTAAATTAAAAAGAAAAAAACTTTTATAGTTAGCAATTTATTATGTATTCTTTTCATTGCCTTAGTTTCCATCTGTGTGCATTTTTCTCCTCCTGCCAGATTTTCATTAGCATTTCTTATAATTTTGCTGTGTTACCAAAGAATTTTCTTAGCTTTCGTTTTTCTGACAGAGTTTTATTTTGCTGTTCTTTTTAAAGACATCTTTTTCCTGTAGTTAAAATACTATGCTTGCTGTTTCTTTTTCTTTCAGCATTAGAGTAATTTCATGATTTTATGACTTGTAAAGTTTCTAATTAATGTCTGTATTAATTGCTACTTTTCAACTTATGTGTATAATAGTTTCTCTACCCAGGAAATACAGGAGATGAAAAGAACATAAGGGTGCTAATGTCTTTTCTCTAGGCTTCATTATATACCTTGAAATTCAGTGACCTTATCCTTTGCAATATCTAGCCTTCTATTAACCTCGTCCAGAGATAATTTCATTTTAAATCTTGCATTTTTCTTTAGAATTTCCATGTGTTTATTTTTCACAGTTTTAATTTTTTTTACTATGTTTATTTTTAATACTTTCTTGGGTCAAGTTAAAATGGCTTTTTTGAGTCTACTGGTGTAGTTGCTGTCATTTTGTGGTCTGTTTCTGTTGGTTAATTTTTTTCCACATAATAGGCTACATTTTCTTCCCTTTTGTTTTGTTTTGAGGCACATATTCCACGTTGGAGATTGTGAGTTTCCTTATTGAGTGTTTGTACTTCATTGCGTTAGTTAGAAAGTGTTTTTTTTTGGGGGGGGTGAGGAATTTAAGTTGTTGTAGATTATTTTATCCCTTTAAGGCCTGATTTTTTAACTGTTAGGAGAATTTTAAGCAGACCTACTCTAGCAAAAACTGAAACCTATTATTGAATCCTGATCACTGCTGAGTCTCCACTGAAGGCTTACTGGATATTGTTTAGATTCATGTTTCATGTTTTCTTGGTCTGGAACTTAGCTTTAGGCAAAAAGTCATGGTAATTTTATGTTCACCTTATTTTTTTTTGTTGTTGTTTCAGAGATCATAAGTCTGAGCTGTTCTTTTTCAGTTCCTGCAAACAAATTTATTTACTTGTTTTCTAATTTTCCAGTGTCTTTTAAAATTATTAATACAATCAGATGTTTTCGCTGAATTGCTCTTCTCTCTATCTTAAAGAAGCAGTTCGTAGATATTTTTCAATAATTTTTAAGCAAAGGTATTTTACTGAAAAATGATATCATGTTCACATGTACATTAAACATACCAATGTTAAAGTAATGGAAATGAAACAAATATAATGATAAGTCCAAATAACATATTAAATAAAATAATCCCAAGTATGAAAGGATTTAAATAAGTCATTGACTTAGTTGACATTTTCGTTGACACAGATAAATGTGTCTTCAAGGGTAAGTTGGCTAAGAATTTGACTGTCTTGATGTATCGTAGTAGCTCATGAGAGAATTTTATTAATCATATTTGTGCTTCATCCAATCAAAATTTCCTTGTAATTTAATTCACCTTACTTATTTGGACTCCATTATGCTCCTTATATCCAGTCACACGCAGGAGAGCTAAGGGAAATCTCTCATATATAAAACATCTAATGGCAAAAAGAAGCTTTATATGGCAATAGAAGAGGATAAGAAAATCCCACAAAACTAGCTGGTGATATGTCTTTTTATAACTCCTCAGTATCTACGGAGATATGTTCTACAGCCGGAAAAAATATACAAAAGTTAGAAATACATTTAATTTACTTTATGATGTTGTGATTTAACCAATTTATAGGATGCATTTTTTTCAAATGTATGTATCTTTATTTCATCTTATTTTTGGCAGTGCTGGAGATCAAGCTCTGATCCTAAAACATGCTAGCCAAGATCTCTACACTGCTTTGCACTCCAAACTCTGTTTGTGTCTTTAAGACAGTGTAAGTAAACATTAGTCTTGTTGCATGAGAGTCCTATGTCTAGTATCTTTTTGTTCTGCCTAAATAACTAGCCCGGACAACTGATTAATAGGTAAATGCAACTTTTATTTAAAGGAAAGGAAAAAAAAAGGGGGGGATGAGGAAAAGAAAGGAGAAGAAAGGAAAAGAGTGAAGAAAAGAAGGGCAAGGAAAGATATCTCCCTCAAGCAGGACAGGCCACTGCACAAGCAGGAGGACAGCAGGACAGCAGGACAGCAGGACAGCCCTGACTGCGAAGTCTATGGCTGCAGTCTTCCGCGTCCTCCTAACCTCCGGTCTGTCCGAAGTTGCTCTTCTCAGCATCCTGCTGTGACTGACAGGCCATATCCTGGAAATTAGCTTCCCTTCATTCTATGTCCTGTTTGGAGCCAGCCTCCCATGCCAAAATCTCCTGCCTCTGTCTCAAAACTCTTCTTAAACACTATAAACCCATGGCTACCTAGTAAGAAAACATATTTACAGATAATAACCATAACAAATTTTGTGTTCAATATTTCTACCTAAAATACATTTCATATTCCCTTATAGCTATATTATATATTGTGACAAAAATTTGTCTTTAGAATCAAATTATTAAACTTCATGAAGACGTGCACATATTATTGTATGGAAATAATTCTATATTTAATTCAATACTTATAATTCGCACCACTGTGCATTAGTTGCAGCAATTGATTTGACTAAATGTATCGTGAATTGTTCTGCATTGAATGTCAGATTTTAAAATGCTATATAAATATATAATGAAATATTCAGTGATACTGTTTTCTAATTATAAAATCCAGATTGATAACTGTACACATTTAAAATGCATTTTGAATCCTCATCGCAATAACTGGATATATACCTTGAGGAGAAACGAATTCTCTTATCAAGGAGTATGGGAATGGATGTCAAGGTGCAACGATGACACTGCAAGGAAAATAATCCAACCAGATGGGAAGGAGTATACAGCACTAAGACACATTTGACAAAGACACAGAAAATTTCTTCGTGCTCTAAAATAAAGTAAGCTTATGAAATTGCAATTTTCGATGAAAGCCAGTTTGTGATTTTGATATGTGGCTCTAAAATATTCAGAAGTAAAGATAACAGAAACTGAAAATTAGGTCTGCACATTGATTATATATATATATTCTTTATCTGTTCCCTCCACTTGTAGGTGATGAAAAGCCATGGATGACAATGAAGATTTGCTGTGAAAATAATGAATAAACTTGATTTATACATATATATCACATAACTTCAACCGTGAAATTGTAATCATCTATAATCATCTAATTACATAACTGTGTATCTTCCAAAATTGTACAAGAAATTACTCATTTTGTCCTTCATAAGCTGTTTGAACATTTTCCTTTTCTTTCTTTTTCTTTTTTGGGGGGGTTTTTTTGAGCAGGGTCTCACTATGTAGTTGAGATTGACCTGGAACTCACTATGTAGCCCAGGCTGGTCTCGAACTCACAGTAATCCTCCTGCCTTAGCCTCCCAAGTGCTGGGATTACAGGAGTATCCCACCACGCCAGGCTTCTTTTGATTTCTTTTTTATTACATACATGCAGACAAAAATCAATTCTTCTTGTCATGTTATCAAAAATTTGGGTGAAAAGTGCAATGTCCTCAATTTCTTTACTGAATCCTTAGTGACAAAATAACAGTTACTATGCTGTTAGTAAATTTTCTAAATGGTTTCTCTTTTCTGTATGTGTGGTTTCATGCTGCGTATGTTTTCTCTTTATGTTATACTATCAAAAAGCTTCTAGTAATACCCTGCCCATCAAGATGTCATAAGAATGCCTGACTGAGTATATCGTGCATATAGTTTCCCTACATTTTTAGTCATTTTCTTTTCTAATATTTAAATATAGATTCATTTGGTACAATTACATAACACTGTTCATTATAGCATCTCTTTATATTATGAGAGAAATTGGTTATGGTGAAATAACGTGTTATTCATCATTTCTGGAAAAAGGCACACTTCAAAATCTGTGCATGTTTTAATAATATGTTCATTGAGTCAGTGTAAAGGGGAATTAGTGTTCTAAATTTTTGAAAGCAATTTACATAAAGACATCAGGCTTTAGAGAATATGAGAAACAGACAAAGCAAATGTGTTGGGAGAAACACAGACGATGAAAGTATTTTGATTCTCTCTCTCTTTCTCTTTCCTTCTTTCTTTCTTTTTCCTTTCTTTCTTTCTTTCCTTCTTTGTAGTGGCAAATTTTGTTCAAGAAAGCAAAAGTGAAGAGTGAGAGAGAAATCAGGCTCTGCAGAGGGAGTTTGGGCCTAGTAAAGAGACAAAGAGGTTGAGAGGTAAGTACAAGCTGCATCTGGGAAACACAGTGTGGTCTATGGTGGAAAATTATGATAGCAATGCTTGTGTTTTTAAAAAGCACGGCACATCAACGGATAACTCAATTTGAAAATAAATTTTTAAACAGCATTTCATATTTTCACTTTGTACATCAATTTTAGATGATGGCTTTCACTTAGTTTAGCCAAGCATTACATGATAGATCTTTATGATTTTAAATTAGGTCTTTGTCTCTGTAAAGTCTATTTTTAAAAATCTTCATGCAATTTAATTTTAAAAAGTAATTTATCTTCTAGATTAGTCTTTGGTTCATAAAAAAATTGAACAGAAAGTATAATGTTCCTATAACCTCTAACCCCAAACACCCACACCTTTCTCGCTCTTGACCAATATCAACATTGTGCCTTAGAATTCTACACTTATCGTAGTCCATGAACAACTCTGATACATTGTTATTACTGGAAGTCCACAATTACATCAGGGTTCATTATTTTTTAATTTTTGGGGTACATTTAAAGTACACAATATAATGACATTCATGTTGGAAATGTGTACGTGTGCATGATCAATTTTGGTTTTTATTGTTTTTCCTATCCCCCTGCCCTCCGTTAAACCCTCCTCTCCCTCCCTGTCTACGAAGACTTTGTTTCCATTATTTTCATCTTCTTGTGTCAATTCCATTCCCTCCTTCCATTTCTCCCTGCCCTACCTCTTCCCCTTCCCCTTTCCTTCCATTTCACTTTATCTGTTCACACCTGTTACTCCTTCGTTACACTTTCATTTTCTTACACTAGAGAAACTGGTACTTACACGTGTGCGTCCTATTTATTCCACTTTAGCGTATCATCTCAGAGCTGGGAATTTAGTTCAGTGGTTCTCCTGCTTGCCTTGCAAGCACAAGGACCTGAGTTCGATCCTGGGTAACCCCACAAAAAAAAAAAAAAAAAAAAAAAAGAAAGAAAAGAAAAGAGTATCACCTTAATGTGCATCCATTTAGCTATAAATGTCTCTAATTTTTTATGGCTGAGTAGTAGTCCATTCTATGAAAAACCCACATTTTCTTTATCCAGTCTTTCACTAATGGGCAATTGGGCTGCTTCCAAGTTTCAGCTATTACAAATTTGTGCTGCTATTAACATGGGTGAGCATGTATTGCTGTGGTATGATTATTCTAATTCTTTAGAGAAATTATCCAGCAGATGACAAGCTGGGTCAAATGGGACTTGCAATCCTAATTCTTTGAGGTATCTCCATACTGATTTCCACAGTGCTGGCACCAGTCTGCACTCCCACCAGCAGTGGAGCAGCGTTCCTTCTTCCCCACAGGCCTGCCAGCATTTATTATTAGTTGTTTTCATGATAGCAGCCATTCTTTCTGGGGTGAGGTCTAATCTCAGTGTTGTTTTCACCTGCACCTCTCAAATGACCAGAGATGTCAAACATTTTTTCGTATGTTTATTTGCTCTTTCTACTTTGTCTGTGAAATGTCTGTTCATTTTGGATACCCATTTTTGGATTGGGTCTTTAAATTTGGGAGGTCTGATTTTTTTAAAGTTATTTATATATTTTAGATAGTAGACCGTTGTCTATGGAACAGCTGGTGAAAAATTTTTCCCACATTGTTGGTTGTCTCTTCACATTGTCAGTAGTTTATTTTGCTATGCAGAAGCTTTTTAATAAGAAGACATCCCATTTGTTGATTGTTTGTGCTAGATCATGGGGAACTGACGTTTTTATAAAATCTTTTCCTATACAGATAATATCTTCAAGAGTTCTACCTAACCTTTCTTTCAGCTGGTTTAGTGTTTGTTTTAATATTTAGATCTTTAACCCATTTTCATTTTAGTTTACTGCATGATGAAAGATATAGGTCTGATTTTAATCTTTGGCAAGTTGAAACCCAGTTTTTCTAGCACCATTTATTAAAGAGGCTATCTTTCCTCCAATGAGGATGTTTTGCTACTTTTTCAAATCTGAGGTGGCTTAGTGTGTCTGGAGTCATTTCTGCATCTTCTAATCTGTTCTACTGGTCCTCAAGTCTGTTTCTTTGCAGGTACCATGCTGTTTTATCACAGTAGCTTTGTACTATAGTTTCAAGTTGGGAATTGTGATACCCACTACCTTGTCTTTACTGCCTAGAATTGCTTTTACTATTCTAGGTCTCTTTTTGTTCCAAATGAATTTTTGGATTGTTTTCTCGAAGTCTGTGAAGTATGCTGCTGTGATTTCAATTGGGATTGCATTAAATCTATATAGTAGTTTTGGAAGTATGGCCATTTTCACTATATTGGTTCTTCCTAACCAGGATCAAGGGATATCTTTCCATTTTCTGATATCCTCTTCAATCTCTTTTTCAGCCTGCTGTAGCTTTCAGAGTAGAGGTCTTTGATTTCTTTAGTTAGGGTGATTCATAGTTATTTAATTATTTGGATGCTATTGTGAAAGGAATTGATTGTCCCATGTCTCTCTCCATGAGTCTGACTTTCCTGTACAGAAAAGCTGTTGACTTTTGTGTATTGACTTTGTATCTAGCTACTTTACTGAATTTGGTTATTAAGTCTAGAAGACTTTTGGTGGAGTTCTTGGGGGTTCTTCTCTATAGAGTACCATGTCATCGGTGAATAATGACAACTTCTATCTTTATTCCTTTTCTTTCTCTTGTTTAATTGCTGTGGCTAGTGTTTCCAAAACTATATTGAACAGGAGTGGTGATAGTGGACATCCTTGTCATGTTCCTGATTTAATGAGAAGGATTTCAGGTTTTGACCCTTTAGTATGATATTGACTGTTGGTTTTTTTATAGATGACTTTTATCAGATTGAGGTAGAGACCATCTATTCTAATTTTCTGAGGGTTTTTATCATAAATGTGTATTGGATTTTGTCAAATGCTTTTTTTTGCATCTATTGAGATGATCATATGGTTTTTGTCTTTGGCTCTATTAATATAGTGTATTACATTTATTGATTTGCATATGTTGAATCATCCCTGCATCTCCAGGATGAACCCCACTTGTTCAGGGTATATGATCTTCTTGATGGTCTTATTGCATTCTATTTGCCAGTATCTTATTAGGATTTTTGCATCTATGTTCATTAGTGAGATTGGCTTATTATTCTCTTTTTGAGTTGGGTCTTTCTCTGCTTATGGGATCAAGGTGATGCTTGCTTCCAGGATGAATTCAGGAATATTGCTTCCCTTTCAATTTCACTGAAGAGTTTAAACACCAGTGACAATAGTTCCTTGCTCAATATCTTGGAGAATTCAACAGTGAAGCCATTAGGACCCAGGCTTTTCTTAGTTGGTAAATTTTTATTGTTTTCAATTTCATTGATTGATATTGAGTTGTTTAGAATTTTTAGGTCATCTTCACTCAACTTTGGTAATTCATATGTATCTAGGAATCTGATCATTTCTTATGTATTTTCCATCTTATTGTAATTAAGGTTCTCAAAGTACATATTGATGATCCTCTGGATTTCTGCTGGGTCTGTTGTAATTTCACCATTTTTGTTCCTAATTACATGGATTTGGGCCTTTTCTTTTATTTTTTGGGTAAGGTTGGCTAAGGGTTTGTCAGTTTTGTTTAATCTTTCAAAGAACCAACTCTTGAGTTTTTTTTTTTTTTTGCATCATTGTCTTAGTCTCCATTGCATTGATTTCTGCTCTGATCTTTGATTTCCTCTCTTGTATAAGCTTTGGGTTTGTCTTGCTTTTCTTTTTCTAGAAGCTTGAGCTTCAGCATCAGATTGTTTAATTGCACTCCCTCTGTTTTCCTAATATGTGTATTCACTGCTATGAATTTCCCTCGTAAGTCTGCTTTCATTGTGTTCCATAGATTCTGATACATTGTATTATCATTGTCATTTAATTGTAGAAACTGTCAGAGTTCTTCTATAATATCCTCGGTGACCCATTTGTTATTGAGAAGTGTGTTGTTCATTTCCATGTTTTTATGAAATTCTTGTGGTTTCTTTTGCTATTACTTTCTAATTTCATTGCATTATGATCTGATAATATACAAGGGATCACCTCAATTCCTTTGCCCTTACTTAGATATATTTATGAGTGAGTTTGTGGTCTATTTTGGAGAATGACCCATGCACAGCTGAAAAGAATGTGTATTCTGATATTGTGCGGTAGAACACTCTGTAAATATCTGTTAAATTCATTTGTTCAAGAGTTTGAGTTCTAGTATATTGTTATTTTCTATCTAGTTGTTTTATCTATTTGTAACAGTGGGGTATTGAGGTCTCCCACTACTATTTTATTAGTGCTTATATGATTTTTCATGTCTTTTAGTATTTGTTTTATATGGTTGGGCATGCTTGTGTTTGGTGCATATAAATTTATGATTCTCATCTCTTCCTCTTGTATTTTTCCCTTACAAGGATGTAGTGTCCTTCTTTGTCTCTCCTAATCAGTGTTGGTCTGAAATCCACTTGATCTGCAAAGAGGGTAGCTACTCCTTCTTTCTTTCTGATTCCTGTCACATAGAGTATTGTTTTCCACACTTTAACTTTCAGTCTATGAGTTTCTTTTTGAATAAAGTGTGTTTCTTGTATGCAGCATATTGTTGGATCTTGCTTCTTGACCTATTCTTCCAGTGTATTTCTTCTGATTGGTGAATTGAGACTATTAACATTGATGGTTATAACTGGTATGTATTTTCTTATCCTTGTCATGACTTTTTTTTTTCTTTTCTCTTTCTTCTAATTTCTTGTCATGCCTTATAGATTCATTCTGTTGGGCTTCCTGGAGTTGTGATTATTGTCTTTTCCTAGAATATTGTTTGAAATTTTTTGGAGTGCTGGTTTGGTATTCATGAAGATCCTGAAGTGTTTTTGTCATGAAAATATCTTATTTCTCCATCAATTTTGAAAGATAGTTTTGTGGGGTATCTCAATCTGAGTTGGAGACTATTTTCCTTAGGGTTTTGAAATATATCACTCCAAGCTCTTCTTGCCTTGAGGATTTGTGTTGAGAAGTCTGCTGTGAT